CGTACTTAGCACATATGAAAATCCAATTGAAACGTTTTGTTAGACGAAAGAGTCCTAAACGAAGTAGAATATGAACTTTACATAATCTGCGCTACAGATTGTGGGTTTTTTTCACTGATTCATAAAATTAGAAATATCTGTACGATATGCCTAATGAACTGTTTGAGAGCTTAGTATTTGTTATAAAAGAAACAAAAAAGTGACTATTCCAGTTTACATGAGTATTTTTCGATCGTTCTTTTCTATCGGGATCGATCGCAGGAAACGGATGTGACCCTATTGATACGAAACCAAAGCAGCAGCATTCATCACTAAAATTGAAAACGAACAGTAACAAGCTACAACGTCGAATCTACCAAAGCGATCCATACATATATGGAGTGATGAAAATATTCGTATTCGATTCTCTTCATGAAAACTCATCTGTTTGAAAGAATTAGCGGAAAGGGGGGGGGGGGGGGAGTTTTAACTTGGCACATTAATATAACAAAATGATTGGATTAATCAATCTCTATAAGTGTGACAAAGAAAACAAAACAAATGAAGCAACACTTTGAAAATAAATCATTTCACTCTATCCAGAGATGGGCAGCTCCGACTCCGGAGCGATTGCTCCATGGAGCTAGCTCCGCTCCAGGAGCGAGAGCGGAGCGGAGCGATTCATCAGAACGGTGGAGCTGGAGCGAAGTTGGAGCGAGTTTTTTCCCACTAATACCGGAGTCGGAGCGGAGCGCTTCCTAAATAAAATGGAGCTGGAGCGGAGTCGGTGCGACATTTTATTTATAGCTCCAATGATAAGCTCAGTTTTCGATTTATTGTTCTATACAAAATGACAGAAGATTTAATGAGAGAAAGCTCGTCATCGGTGAATTATCGAAATGGGTAGCTCATTGTGATATTTTAGTCAATGGCAATCTCTGAAACAATGACTGACCGTTTATATACAGTTTTCTTCTTTGTCTAATTGAACTAAGCTATTGTTACTTTGGAAATGGAAGAGAATGACGTCGAGAAAGAGAGAAATTGCCTAATATAAAATGTGAAAGGTGAATAGTGCCGAATCAGAATAACATTTCTCAGCTAAGTGTTACTTGAACGAACACGATTATCATGGCAAAAAAAAATGCACGATCATGATATCGATGAATCATCTTCCGTTACTATCGTCGGCAATAACGATTCAGTGTCATCATATAATGAAAAAAAAGCGAGTACCGTTCTTGAAAAGTAAACGTTCTTCATATTATATTATAACTAAGTTAAATATATTGTTAATCAATGTGTTCTTTTTTTGTACTTTATATACATGCTTCTATATTTAGACTAACACGAGAAATTCACTGAACACAGCTAATCATAAAGCATAATTAAGAAAATTTGTTGCAGGAGCGGTGTCGAAACGTAGTCGGAGCGGATTTTTTTAATTAAGGGTAGAGCTGGAGCTGAGCGGGAGCGGATACTTTCGGCGAGGAGCGGAGCCAGAGCGGAGTCGGCAGAATATTTCTTAATCTTGGGCGGAGTCGGAGAGGAGCGGTCTGTTATTGACTGGAGCTGAAGCTGAGCTGGAGATAGAAAGGGTCGGAGCTGCCCATCTCTGACTCTATCTCATGAACACGAAAAGAAGTCGTCCCGTCTCTTATTAAAGGTTTTAATAGATAATCTCATTTTTTTAGCAAACTAAAAGCATTTCTGATACAAATGCATCAAAAGTTCTTCTCTATATGGATGATGTGACGACTGGCTCAGAAATGACAATAAATAAGAAAACTTATTTTTTCTACCAATATTCGAATTGTCACTGACATATCTGTCTAATCGCTCAAATCTTTTTGACATCATCTTTCCATCAAATGAGAAATATCTTGATTTAGAATTAAGAATATTCTTGTTCTATACTTAAGGTTCAATGAGTACTACAACAGCAACAACCACGACAGCAACAACTGCAACGACAACAACAACTACAACAACGACAACAACGACAACAACAACAACGACAACAACTACAACAACGACAACGTCTACAACAACGACAACGACTACAACAACGACAACAACAACAACAACAACGACAACAACGACAACAACCACAACAACGACAACAACCACAACAACCACAACAACAACAACTACAACAACGACAACGACAACAACTACAACAACGACAACGACAACAACTACAACTACAACAACGACAACAACTACAACAACGACAACGACAACAACTACGACAACAACAACGACAACAACTACAACAACCACAACAACAACGACAACAACAACAACGGAAACTACAACAACCACAACAACGACAACAACGACAACGACAACACCAACAACGACAACAACAACAACAACGACAACAACTACAACAACCAAAACAACAGCAACATCAGCAACAACAACAACCGCAAGTATGTCCATGTGTTCAAGGTTTTAATAACTGAGCTTGCGACCGGTCGTTCTTTTTCTGTCGAGATAACTGCCGGTGTCTTATATCACATTCCGAGTGCAAAATATTCACTGATTTCAATTGGATTTCTCTGCAACAAAATCAAAATTAAAATCGATTGATAATTTTGATTTTGTTGCAGAGAAATCCGATTGAAATCAGTGAATATTTTTCACTGGAACTGTTGAAATCGGTTTCTTCAGGAGCTGAAATGTTCTATGGATAGTGTTTTTTCAAGTTTGCCAGGGAATCTTTTTCAGGAAGATCGTTTGGTATACTGGATCTGTATCACTATTTCATGTTTCTGAATTTCCTGAGTGTGATTTTGTTACAATTGTATTCACTTGAGGAAGTATGGGATTGGGGCGTGGGTGTGGGTGTATAAAGATGCTTTCGAAGAATACACCCACACCCACACACCTCATTCCTCACATCCGTACACACCTTACACGCACCCTCACACACCGACACTCACCCACCCACACTCTACAGTCATGGTCACACCCACAACATCATTGACTATCCTTCGATATTCTATCAGATAGGAATAAAGCACACAAGACCTCTTGCTGAAAATGATATGTTTGCTGAGTATTAAAATAAAAAATAGAAATTTTCGTAGAGGACCAGGTCCAACTTCTTATAGGAGGGAGGTTAAGCCTTCTCTAAATACGTCACAGCTACTTGGAAGTCTAAGTCAGAGTAACTCTAAGTTAGGAACAACGGATTTCAGACTATAAAGTCAGTATTTAGCTCTGATTTTCATACAACAGGATATGTCTTCATTCATTTTAGTGGAATAGATAAATAATTTCAAAGTATTGATTTTCGAATTCTAAACCTAGTCTGTATTGTATCTGGAGCTGATAGGAGTATTCTATAAAGCAATTGAAAAAGAAACTGTAGCCCACTTACCAACGTGTTACAATGATACTATACGGAACATGAAGTTTTAAACTTAACGATAACTCAATCTATTCCTTTAGCCACTACTACGACTACAACTATCGCACCGCCAAATAAAATACTGTCATGCACAATGTTTACTTTTGTCTATCGGTTTATATGGAACTATTACGTCAAATTATTTCGAATATGCGAATAGAATCTTTGTTCTGATTACTCATGCATTATGTCATCATTATTTAAAACGACAGCTGTGTTAGTTTTTCATAGTTACTCATGTAATTGAATCGATGTTTACTTAGAAATACTCAAGTATCTTTATATCATTCATCAAAAGTTCTGTAATTCAAAATTCATCGTGCATTAGCAAGTATCTGAACGGATTAGTACTTGTGTTTATTATTATTCCTCATTGTTGTTCAGTATATTTCTAGACATATCTCATAACTATGATGCACCCAATACATGAATGAAACTCTTGTGGTGACTATTTAGTTATTATCTTATTCAGTGCTATAATTTCCCAATGGCATGAATTATTTAACTAAAGCAAGTTTACTGAACAGAAACTTATGGTTTAGCTCAATTCATTGGGCAAGAGGCATTTCCCAATTTATTTGAAGGGCATACATTGTTTCTAAATTAGTGATGCTCTTGAACGAACTTTAGTCATGGCCATTCACCTGTCAAAATATTTTTTCCGATATGATCAAACACCATACTTTGTTTCGAAGTGGGTGATAGACTTGAATAGAACCCTTATTATAAGAAATCATTTGTCAAGAGGTCTTCGTTAATGTGATCCAGTGACATTCTCCACTTTGAAATGAGTGATACAATTGAATGGAAACTTTCTTATAAGAATGCATTTGTCAAGAGATCTTTGATGATGTCATCGAGTGCCATACTTTGTTTCGCAAGGAGCGATACACTTGAATGGAACTCTACTCATAGCGATTCATTTGTCGAGAAATCTTTGTTGATGTGATCGGGGAGCAAATTTTGCTACGAAGTTAGCAATATACTTGAATGAAACTCTAGTCATAACGATTTATTTGCCAAGAAATCTTCGATGATAGGATTGAGTACCATTCTATGCTTCGAACTGAGCGATGCATTTGAATCGAACTCTAGTTATAAGAATTCATGTGTCAAGAGGTTTTTGCTAATATGATCGAACGGCATACCTTCCGTCGAACTGAGTGATACACTTGAATGGAAGCCTGGTTGTAAGAATACATGTTTCAAGAGATCTTTGCTGATATGAGCGAGTGACATTCTTTGTTTCGAAATGAGCAATATATTTGAATGGGATCCTAGTTATAAGGATTCATATATCAAGAGGTCTTTCCCGATTTGATGAAGTGCCATACTTTGCTTTCAACTGAACGATACACTTGAAGGGAACCGTACTCATAATAATTCACTTGCCAGAAAATCTTTGCTGATGTAATCGAGTGACGAACTTCACTACGAAGTTAACGATGCACTTGGATGGAACCCTACTCATAACGATTCACTTGTCAAGAAATCTTGGCTGATGTGACTGAGTAACAATTTTACTACGATGTTAGCGATACGTTTGAATGGAACCTACTCGTAGAGATTCACCTGTCAAGAAATCTTTTCTGGCCTGATCAAGTGGCAGATTTTGTTTTGAAGTGAGCAATATACTTGAATACAGTTGTAATTAGAATCATTCATTTACTGTCGCAACTTTGATGATCTCACTTTGCGTTAACTTCTTCAGAAGTTAAAATCATATTTGTACGAGATGTTTGTTAGCAGTAATCATTTTACACGCGTCTTGCTCTCTATAAGTATGGTAGCATACTTCATCTAGAAATGAGTGATGTGTCAGAATGAGAGCATAATAAGAATGATTCATTGTGTCGAAAGATCTTTTTTGATGTGATTATGTGACTTACTTTACTTTAAAACAAGTAATATACTTGAACCCAAACCTGGTTGTAATAATATATGTGCCCAGTGATTTTTACTGATGTCATCGAATTACACACTATGTTTCGAAATAAGCAGTATATTTGAACACTATTGTTTTACAACTGATACATTTACTACGGATCTTCCACCAGTGCGTGTAACATTTAATATAATAATTAAACTGCAACATCGCTGAATCGAATCTTTGTTGAGCTTAAACAATTTTTAGGATTCCTCACAAACGAAGCTTCACATGAATATTGTTTTCTATCCAACGTTATTCTTGAATGAGAGGCTAATAATGGAAGTTCACACATCCAACAACCATTTCTCACAGAATCGAGTGATATACTTAATCACGACATAAACAATATAAATGAATAACGCTCTTATTATTAATATTCATTTATAGGAAGATCTTAAGTCGTGTCATCGCGTGGAAAACTTCACTATGAAGTGATCGATACATGCGTATAAAACATTATTTATATCAATTCATTTATCGAGAGATCATTAATGTTATCATTGAGTGACATATCTCACTTCGAAGTGAGCAATACACCTAAATAGAACATTAATACTGGAAATTCCATTTTCAAGAGGTCTTTCCTGATGCCATGAAAAAATTTTCTTCAATTCTGAGTGTGCGAAATATTTGCATCAAACTATAATTATAAGTATTCAGTTATCGAGAGGCTTTTGTTGATGTAATCGAGTAATATTTTCAGCTATAGAATGAGTGGTGTAGTTGAATGAAGTCATTGTTATAACAATTTATTTTTCGAGAGATCTTAGCTGACATAATCCAGTGGCACACCTGCTACAATGTGAGCAAGATACTCCAATGGAATGTTTGTTCTAATAATTCAATCGTCACCAAATCTCTCCTACTGAGATCAAGTCTCAAACTTCGTTTCCGACTGAACGATCAAGTTGAATGAAACTCTGATTATAAAAATTCATCTATCCAGAGATATTTCCTGTTATCAACGAATAGCTCCCTTCACTCAAAAGTGAGAGCAAAAATTACATGGAATCCTTATTATACTAATTCATTTTTCAATAGATCTCTCCTGTTACGATGTACTATAATACTTCGCTAAGAGACTACTGAAAAACCTGAATCGAACTTTGGTTATACCAATTCATTTTCCAGAAGTTTTGCTAATGTAAACTTATGACATGTTGCGCTACGAAGTCAGTGAAACACTTGAATCGAACTCTGATGATAGCAATTCATTTGTCCAGAAACTTCGCCAATGTAAACTTGTGAGGTATTCTACTGCAAAGTCAGCGAAACCTTTGAATTCAGCTCTGGTTATAGCAGTTCATTTATCCAGAAACTTCGTCAACGACAACGTGTGGTGCACTGCTCTACGATGCTGATGAAACATTTGAATCCAACCCTACTTAAACCAATTCATTTTTCCATAAAGTTTCTCAGGGTAAACTTGTGACGCATTCCGCTATGAAGTCAGTGAAATACTTGAATCGAACTATGGTTATAGCGATTCATTGTCCCAGAAACATCGCAAGAGTAAACATATCAAGCGTTTCGCCACAAATTCGATGACATATTTGAATGGTAGGCTGTTTATGAAAATTCGTTTATCAACAGATCTTTCCTAATAAGCTCAAGTGCCAAACTTCGTTTCCCAGTAAGCGATCCAGTTGAATGAAACCATAATTATACAAATTCATCTAGACAGAGATGTTTCCTAATATCATCAAACAGCTATCTTCACTCGGAAGTGAGAGAAAAACTTAAATGGAGCTCTACTTATACTAGTTCATTTTTTAAGAGACCTCTTCTATTGTATTATGATGCCATACTTCGCTAAGAAGTCAGTGAAACACTTGAACCGAAATTTGGTTATAGCAATTCACTTTTTCAAAAACTTTGCCAATATAAACTTGCCACGCGTTCTGCGGCGAAGTTACGAGAACATTTGAATCAAACTCTGGTTGTAGCAGTTCAATTTTTCAGAAACTTCATCAATGTCAACTGGTGACTTGTTTCACCACGAAATCAGCGAAACATTTGAATCAAACTCTGGTTATAGTAATTCATTTGTTTAGATACTTTACTAATGTAAATTTGTGACGCATTCCGCTACGAAGTTGATGAAATATTTGAACCGAACT